GTGCTTGTCTTCACCCAAGCATAGCAAACATTTGTATTAAGAGGCACCGTACTCTGTGCAACCACTAGATTCTTTGCCTCTGCTCGCAGAGAATGTAAGTTCGATTCTCGAGTGGGGAGGTGTTCTTTACAGATTGTCTCTGTTCGTCTGCTGGGATATTGTATCCCACTCAGCGCAGGTTGGCTTCGACAGGTAAGGTCGAAGCATTCCCCACCCCCTCCTAAATTATATAAATTGAGTCCAAAGGCGCTTTAAAAATGTACATTTATGATTTCAAATCTATGAACGAAAGGAACACAAGTACTGAACAGTCGAATCGTTTTATTTGAAAATAAATCACTGTCATACCAACCGACACATATTTTACAGTGGCGTCCAAAAGAAACTTGTAAATGTAATTACCCAGTCATACTGTTAAAGCCTCGCACTGACCATTTATGCAGTATACCAATGTAAAGCTAAATAAATTTTGCATCATCTGACACATTGAAATATCATCTATGATAAGAGTCGCCCGAGATATTGTCACTCAAAATCGACCCTAAAAGTCAGGCTAGACCAAATTGTGCGAAATCTAAGTAACGTAAAAATATTGTCTTCGCGCGTGTATTGAGGAGTATCAATATTGATAGAATGAACATACGTTGCATATCCAATTAATGGAGAATTTCGTCTCTGTTTATTCCACCCCAGACCACCCAAAACTATGGCAGTTTTGTGGCCTCTGCTCCTCACTGACAGATGATTATTCCAAAATCTAACAAACACAGTCCATGTGTAAAAAAGGTTTCGTGCTCTACACGAAAGCAATACTCCTAAACAAAACCTAAATCATACTAATGAGCACGACATGTTATGTTAAGTCTAGGTTTTGCATGGTATTTGTGACTACTCTGTTTTCCTATCTATTTGAAAATATCATCAGAAGATGTTCATTGCAGAGACAATAATATTGTCTTTCTCATCAGAATGGACCTTTTCAAGTTGGAAAGGTCACTTAACTCTTTTTATTTCTATTACCACTGTTTCGGGTGATGATTTAACTCATTTTGCTTTGATTCCAGATCTACAGTATCAGGATTTGGATATCGTAATGAGACCCCTGCCTTTCTCGTTTCATTATTCCTCCATATGTCTCTTTTTTTCTTCCTTTCTCTCTCTCTCTCTGTCTCTCTCTCTCTCTGTCTCTCTCTCTCTCTCTCTCTCTCT